CATATGGAAATCAATAAATATAATTCATTACATCAATAGACTTAAAAATAAGAACCATATGATCATCTCAATAGATGCAGTAAAAGCATTTGACAAAATACAGCACCCTTTCATGTTCAAAACGATAGAAAAACTAGGGATAACAGGAACATATCTCAACATTGTAAAAGCTATCTATGCTAACCCTCAGGTCAACATCATTATAAATGGGGAAAAATTGAAAGTATTCTCTCTAAAAACTGGAACAAGACATGGATGCCCTCTTTCACCACTTCTATTTAACATAGTTCTTTAAAGACTGGCCAGAACAATTAGACAGACAAAAGAAATTAAAGGGACATGGATAGGTAAAGAACTTAAATTAGCACTATTTGCCAACAATATGATTCTATACCTAGAAGACCCAAAAAGTTCCACCAGAGAACTTCTAGAACTAGTAAATGAATTAAGCAAAGTAGCAGGATATAAAATCAACACCCATAAATCAAAGGCATTTCTGTATATCAGTGACAAATCCTCTGAAAGGGAAATGAGGAAAACTACCCTATTTACAATAGCAACAGAATATATAAAATACTAATGAAAGAGGTGAAAGACCTCTATAATGAAAACTAAAGAAAGAAATTAAAGAAGACCTTAGAAGATGGAAAGATCTACCTTGCTCTTGGAGAGGCAGAATTAATATTGTCAAAATGACCATACTACCAAAAGCACTATTCAGATTTAATACAATTCCAATCAAAAATCCCAATGACATTCCTCATAGAAATAGAAAAAGCAGTCATGAAATTTATCTGAAAAAATGAGAGACTCAGAATAGCCAAAGCAATCCACAGCAAGAAGAGTGAAGCAGGTGGCATCACTATACCAGATCTTAAACTATACTACAGAGCAATAGTAACAAAACCAGCATGGTATTGGCACCAAAACAGACTGGTAGACCAATGGTACAGAATAGAGGWCACAGAGACTAACCCACAAAATCACAGTCATTTAAATTAGACAAAGGTGCCAAAAACATACCTTGGAGAAAAGATACACTCTTGAACAAACGGTGCTGATATAATTGGAAATCCATATGCAACAAAATGAAATTAAACCCCTATCTCTCACCATGCACAAAACTCAACTAAACATGGATTAAGACCTAGGAATTAAACCAGAGACACTGCACCTATTATAAAAAACGAAGGCCCAAATCTCTATCATGTTTGATCAGGCCCCAACTTCCTTAATAAGACTCTTATAGCACAAGAATTAATATCAAGAATCAATAAATGGGATGGATTCAAAATAAAAAGCTTCTTCTTAACAGAGGAAACAATCTGTGAGGTGAATAGAGAGCCTACTAATTTGGAACAAATCCTTACCACACGCATCAGATAGAGCACTAATGTCTAGAATACATAAAGAACTCAAAAATGTTAACACCAAAAAACTCAAATAACCCAATCAATAAATGGGCCAAGGAACTGAAGAGACACTTCTCAGAATAAAATATACAATCTAAAAATATAAAATATACAATCTAAAAAAATGTTCAACATCTCTAGCAATTAGAGAAATGCAAACAAAAACTAAGATTTCATCTCCCTCTAGTCAGAATGGCAGTTACCAAGAATACAAACAACAATAAGTGTTGGCGAGGATGTGGGGAAAAAGGCACACTCATACATTTCTGGTGGAACTGCAAATTGGTGCAGCCAATATGGAAAGCAGTATGGAGAATCCTTTGAAAACTGGGAATGGAACCAATATCTGACCCAGCCATCCCACTCCTTGGTGTGTACCCAAAGGACTTAAAAACAGCATACTAGGGGCTGGGGATGTGGCTCAAGTGGTAGCGCGATCGCCTGGCATGTGTGGGTGGTATGGAAGAGAAGATATTTGAAGCTGGGAGGGCAAAAAGACTAAGGGCCAGGTCAAGAAGGATCGTGCACAGGGGCACTGAAGAATAAGAGGTTGTGAGTCATCATGGATGAAATGAGAGAATTCTTGGGGGATACAGGCAACATGAAAAAGAAAAAGTTGAACTTTTATGGTGCTCATAAATAAGGGTAGAGGTTTAAGAAGATTTATATGAGTACCATGGTTCTGAGTCATTAGATACAAGGAAAGCCAAATTGGAAATGTAGAGTAAGATAGTTTTTTTTTTCATATTCACAAGCTTGTGACCACTGAATTTATTAAATTACATCTGGGGGAGAAAATAGTTTCTATAAAAGTATGATATGCTATGTGTAAATGGTAGAAAGATCAATAGAGGGGAGGGAGTAGGAGAGGGAGAGAGGAGGGGAAGAAGAGGAACAGGTGACTGAGTTAGAACAAGGTATATTTCATGCTTTTATAATTATATCAAAAAAGAGCCTACTGTTATGTATAATTTAAAAAAATTAAAGAAATAAAAAACTATTATACATTTTTGATAAGCATTTTGATAACTTGAACTTTTTATTTAAATTATTTTCCTTAAAATTTTTAAATTTTAAATGATATAATTATTGATTATTCTTATACTAGATTGTACTATACTACGTTATGCTCTAATATAGAAAATGCAAACTTTATGGAATGGATTCTGGTTAGCTTTCACTGAGAATTATTAATCATAAGTTCAGTGAAATGGTAAAGAAAATCACTTCTACTTGGACAAATCTACACACTATTGTGCATATTCTGTGGGGATTCTTGTTATGTCACCCATAATACAGCATGCAGATTGGTTGAATTTTCTTTCTAAGACCTCAGACTTAAAAAGAGTATTTCTTATTTAACAGCCGTGAATTTTTATATTTTCTCATTCATTTTTATTAACAGGGAAGGTATATGATTTATGAAATATTTTGAAAAATATCAAAGTTGGTAACCTATTGCAGTCAAATTTTCGTTCTCTAACATGTACATTGTGGGGGAGGTGACCTACAAATCTGAAGCTATAAGAACTTCCTTTGTTTTTTCTCACAGACCATGATTCACAATTACTCTGTCATTTTTAGTTTTTTTTTTTTTWAATCTAAGATCTTGCCTGGATATTTTTACATCAGATTATTAGTCATAGAATTTTACAAATTCAGCGTGACTATTTTACATTGCTTCATACATAAGACTCTCTTACAGAGCACTCAGATTGATTCTGCAATAGGTGAGTATAAGTGCTTTCACTTATTTGCTTCTTTTAAATTATAGATATCTGTCATTCTTCAATAATAATTCAGACCACAATACAGAATGTGTTAAATGATAGATTGGAGAGAAAATAGTTTCTTTAAAAATATAGTAGTTTTTCATTGTGCAAACAATAGTGTAAGGTCTGAATCAAGCTATACTTTTTTTTTTTTAAAGAGAGAGTGAGAGAGGAGAGAGAGTGAGAGAGAGAATTTTTAATATTTATTTTTTAGTTCTCGGTGGACACAACATCTTTGTTGGTATGTGGTGCTGAGGATCGAACCCCGGTCGCACGCATGCCAGGCAAGCGCACTACCACTTGAGCCACATCCCCAGCCCTCAAGCTATACTTTTCTTTATTTCTTTTGTCCTGGATTTTTTTTTTTTTTTTTTTTTAGTCTTTAACCATGTATCTAGCCTCTTTTCTCAAATTAAATTTTTGAATAACCCATCACTTTCTCACTATTATGAAGTGTTTGATCAACAGATGCACATATTATTAGGCTTTGAAACTTACAAGTTTCTTTCCAGAATGGCGAATAATATAATTTGCATATTATACAGACCCATGTGCAAATGATGGCTGGTTTCTTTTCCTGCACATTGTACAACTTACACAATTGTATTTGGTTTAAAATATTTACTGATTTTATGGATAAATGTCATATCATTGATATTTTTGTTTGGATTTCTTTCATCAGCTATGAAATATGTCTTTTCCAATACTTATCTGTGAGGTACTTCTTTCCATTACCAATCAAAGTGATGTATTGTATTTATACTTTGCCTTAACTCTTTTCCTCACAGGCATGTGGCCTATTACTTGTACTATCTTTCCATTCTTTTTATTGTGTTTTGGTTTGGATTTAACAGTTTGCTTTCTGCAAAGGTTATTCAAGTATACAATGTGAAATTAGTGCTGTAAGTCTATGTAATGCTCCAGTTTTAAACAAATTTTTCATCTGATCCTATTACTATGTTTACTTTTTAATCTATTCTTACAATAATGGATTTTTCATTTCTCCCCACACAAAATTTATTTAACTATCTTAAATACTTAAACTGAAACTTTCTTATCTTCCCTGCCCTTAAATTAGCTACCATATTTGTTGGTGAAATCTCCTTAAACCTCTTTGAAGAAAGCAATTTGACAAAAATGTAAAAAATCCTTAGTTTTTTTCTTTTTAAATTTCAGTTTGGTTTTTATTTTAGGAAAAAAAAATAACCATGAGTGTGGAAAAGTGTTATATATAAAGTTGTTTGCTTGTTCAATATTTTAAAATTTTCAAAATTTTACCTTTAAACAGCTTTTAACATGAATCTGAACTTTTAATGAAATAAAAAGTAATGCAAAACTTTCAAAACTCAACCTACATATCACTCAATAAACACAGTGTGTTACAAATCTTGTTCTGCTTTGCATTTCAAGGACATATGCTATGTTAAGTAATTGATTTTCTTCTAAGATATAGATGAACCATAACTTATTCAATGACTCTCTTATAGATCATCATTTTTGTTGATAGTCTTTATACATTTTTTGTTTTCCAATGTGTTAGTTAGAAAAAAGTAATAGTGACCAAAGCCATGTGTACACAACTTCAAACATGTGTTTACTATTTGTGTCGGAAAATTATTTAAAGTGGAAAGTGAAAAGTCAGAATATTTTGTTTTAATTATAGTGATAAATAATTTTCTAGACACAATCATTTGCTAATTCAAAAAATTTTCATTGTTAAAATAGTGTTTTATAGAAAAGGACTCAAATTCTGTTGCTACCTTCCGGTTTACCCGAGTGAGAATATGCATAAACTCAAGCTTATGAGCGTTTTGTTTCAGCAGAGCACACAGTGACTGGATGAACCAGGATCCATCCTTGGAATTTCGCCAGGAATAGTAACCTGGTGCTGTAGAATATGCATATAAGAAGTCGGCCTCTACTGGTATTTTGTGGCATGCCATGTCATCATCAATGCCACTGTCTGTCTCAATGCCACAGTCTAGTTCTGTACCCCGGCAGGCCTGAATAATGAAAAGTTTGGGTTTTCCAGTTAGACTTCTACAATAATCTCCTCTGAAGAAACTTGTTAATTTTTTCAGGTCAACAGGTCCATTTGTTCCAAATATTATTCCTTCATCACCATGGCTTAGAATTATACAAACAAAGCTGCTCCTTTTGCTATGATCTTCTTTAGAAACATTGTGCATTAACTCCACAGTTTCTTCACGTGTAAGGTCATTTTTATTCCTGACTTCATATTTCAAGTTTATGAATATTTCTCTGAGGTTTGCTGCATCTACATCTGTACCAGACCGAGAGGCCATTCCAGTGCTTTTATGAAAGTTCTTATTATTAATGATTAAACATAAACCCATTTCAGGATAATCCATTTTGTAACCATTGTCCAAGGATATTCCAGAGTCCATTGATTTGCTTCCATGTATGGTCTTTCCATTTTTCTCTGATTGTGTAGGATTCCACTTAAATACTCACTGTTCAAAATTTTT